TTGTTGCTGTTGTTATACATTTTTACAAATTTTTTCTATGCAAGAAATGTATGTATGTATGTATGTATGTATGTATGTATGTATGTATGTATGTATGTATGTATGTGTATGTATGTATGTATGTATGCATGCATGTACGTACGTGTGTGTGTGTGTGTGTTTGTATGTGTGTATGTGTGTATGTGTGTATGTGTGTATGTGTGTATGTGTGTGTGTGTGTATGTGTGTGTATGTGTGTATGTGTGTATGTGTGTATGTGTGTATGTGTGTATATATATATACATGTATGTCTTCCTACAATGTTTTCAGTATAAATATTCTTATATTGCTACGTATTGTTCTATAGGGAAAGATGCCCCGATGCCTCAGTGCCCCGCTTGGCGGGTGGTCGCCTGAGCTGCGCCACTGACACAGTCGCCCCAGGAGCACTCTCCTCCTTTGCCGGCAGATCCTCCCATTCCACAGCGCCGCTGAGCATCTCTTGCATCGCGTTCACCCTTAGAGGCTTTAGGGGTTTCGGGCTCGCGGGTTGAGGGTTTAGGGTTTAGGGAATCTCGGGCAACACACTCCCCGAACCAACCACCCTTGAACGCACAAAGGAACCTCCAAACCCGAGAGCTGAAGGCTTGGCGACGGGCTTGCAAGGGGTCAAGGGCTTCACGGTTCTGCGTGAGCTGCGCACGAGCTGTGCTTGAGAGCTTGCTCGGGCTCCTCAAGCCCAGCTCGCAGCCAAAATGGCAGTTGTTTGAGTTAGGGTCGTGTTTTAGAGGCCTGTAAGCAAAGCTGAAACCCTAAACCCTAAAACCCTAAACCCTACACCCTAAAACTCCCTAAACCCTGAAACCCACATTGAGCCCCAGCGACTCGAGCCACTTTGCGAACCACTTAAAGCTCACAGAGTAATGGCCTCTTCTGCTTTTGTCCTTGTCCCACCCCCTCAGCTCCTGGGTATTAGACGAGAAAGGGCTTAAGGTGCAGGGTTTCCGGTTTTAGGTTTTGCCTTTGCCGACCCTGGACAGCGTGTTGGATGGCTAAGGGGATGGAACCCTCCCCTTCCTGCTCCTTCTCTCGCCCCTACCCCAAGAACCCTGCCAAAAACTTTCCGAAACGAAGGATAAACCCTTACACCTCACAGGAGCTCCTCTGCAGCATCCTCGCTGGGCAGTTCGCGGGATACCGTGCGCTGCAGGTAGGCGGCTGCGTCCTGCACCCTCCTTGTGTGGTCGTCCACCGTCGTAGTTACAGCCTTCTGCTCGTAGCCGTGCTTTCGCAGGCAGGCAGAAAACCTGGTCTGCCCTATAACCTAAACCCCGAGCCCCACTGAAAGGAGAGTCCTAACCTAATTTGCCGAACCCTGAAAAGTGGAAAAAAAAACTTCTGAAAAAGCCCGGAAGCTGAGAAAGCAAGCTCTCTGCTGTCTCCTCACGTTGGCGGAGCGCCTCTGCAACACTCTCTTTCCAGTGCTTCCTGTGGAGACGGTGGTACTGCTCGCAGCCCCAGTGGTAGAAGCAGAGGTGCGCATAGAGGCTTCCCACACTGTCAAGTCCCCAGTCCCTGGCCCTCGTCTGCTTGCAGTTTTTGGGGCAGTCCTTGGCCCGGAAGCCTTCGTAGCCCAGTAACCATATTACAACAAGGGCACCCTTTTTTTGGTTGGTTACTTTACAAGGGAACCCAGAACCAAAAAAGGGTAAAGGGTACCACTGGGCTACCAAGAAGCGGGTGAAGGGTATGGGGTCCTTGAAGAATGCCTTGGCCTCCCTCCGGGCATCGGCTGGCAGCTGCGACAGCTCGGAGGCCTTCACCACGATGGAGCCCCGTGCTCCCGAACCCGCCAGTTCCCAGCAGGCGTCCCATGGCGCCGATGCCTCTTGTGCAGAGCGTGCCTTAACCACGAGGTCGTCATCATGGATTGTCCATAGCCCTGGGTTCTGCTGCCCCTGCTGCTCATCGGAACCCAAGAAAAACGGTGCCCACTCACCAGAGTCGCGGATCTTCCTGTACATCATCCGTCCCGCGCCAACTTCAACATAGAAGCCACGGAATGCGATCGACTCTGTGTTTTCAAGCCTCAAGTTTCAAAGCGACCGTCGATGTCGCCACATGAGGTGAGGGATATTCTTTAATTTAAGGCATGGACATAGGCCACTCCAGGGTAAGCTCCATAAACCCCGAAACCTTAGACTTAGGCCTGCCAACCCACCATTCAATACCCCACCAAACACATGATGAACATGTGCTCACTTGAAGTAAACCCTTAGTCCCTTCAACCCTTAAACCCCGAACCCTAAACCCTAAACCCTAAACCCCAAACCCTAAACCCCAAACCCTAAACCCTAAACCCCAAACCCCGAACCCTAAACCCAAACCCTAAACCCCAAACCCTCAACCCCAAACCCTCAACCCCAAACCCCAAATCCCAAACCCTAAACCCCAAACCCCGAAAATCCAAGGTGTAGCCCAGGCTCTGCACCTCCAACACGCGCTGAGGCGACTTGGCCATGATCTTAAATAATTAGGGTCTTGGCTTTAGGGTTTGGGGTTTAGGGTTTAGGGTTCAGGGTTCAGGGTTTAGGGTTTAGGGTTTAGGGTTCAGGGTTCAGGGTTCAGGGTTTAGGGTTCAGGGTTTAGGGTTTAGGGTTTAGGGTTTAGGGTTTAGGGTTTAGGGTTTAGTTTGGGTTTTAGGGTTGTTAAGGGTTCAGGGTTTGGGTTTACATAAGGTCTAGGATCTCGGGTTTAGGTCGAGTGTGTAGGTTTAAGGTTTGGGGTTTAGGGGTGCGTGCTGGGGTTGCGGGCTTAGGCATCTGCTTGGGCTTTGGAGTTCTTGGCTTTAGGGTTTTCAAACGGCCCAAGGCTGTACACTGAGCCAGACGCTCCGAAAGCTTAGGGTTTAGGGCTTTGGAATTTTGGGGCTTAGGGTCTATAGGGGGTTCTATAGGGTTTATACGGGCTTAGGGCTTCAGGGGTTGAGGGGCTGGGTTTAGGGGTCTTATGGCTTAGGGTTTAGGGGTTTAGGGTTCAGAGACAGGTGTCTTTCGAGCGACATCGGATTGCGTCTGGGGTGGCCGCTTTGAACGCCTGGACCTTAAACACCAAGCCCATGCTATGCCCCATATCGCCCTCAACCCTAAACCCTAAACCCTAAACCCTAAACCCTAGACCCTAAACCCTAAACCCTAAACCCCACTAAACCCTACAACCCTACAACCCCGAGTCCCTGCAAGCCGATCTTTCCTAAACCCTCTCTGTGAAGCCCCCTGAGCCTGAAGCGCCTGGGTTGAGGCTTGTGGGCGGGAACCTCCATCTAGGGAATCTAGGGTTTAGGGTTTGGGGTTTAGGGTTTAGGGTTTGGGGTTTAGGGTTTAGGGTTTAGGGGGTAGGATCTGAGCGTTTAAGGGTGTGGTGCACCCTCCTGCTACGACCCCAACCCACTCAAAAATCCCAGAACAAAGCGCAACCTGCACGACCGTGATGCCGCCAAGGCCTTAGGTAAAAACCCCGAATCGCAAAGAGCCCCTAAGCCGCAGAACTCTGAATTAAGGAAAACCTCATGCGCTTACACCCCTAAGCCCTGGTTTTGGGTTTTGGGTTTAGGGTTTAGGGTTTGGAGTTTGGGGTTTAGGGTTTAGGGTTTAGGGTTTAGGGTTTAGGGTTTAGGGTTTAGGGTTTAGGGTTTAGGGTTTAGGGTTTAGGGTTTAGGGTTTAGGGAACCCTTAAAACCCCCCGACGAGCATTCTAGAACCCAAGGCCCCAGGACAGTGGGAACTTCGTTCGCAACCTTGAGCACTGAACCGCCTCCAGGCCTGGCGTGATCGCTGCCCGGCCCCCTGCGTGTCAGAGACTCCGAGAATGCAGGTTCTAGGACTTAGGCTTGTTTAGGGTTTAGGGTTTGGGGTTTGGGGTTTAGGGTGTAGGGTTCAGGGTTTAGGGTTTAGGGTTTGGGGTTTGGGGTTTGGGGTTTAGGGTTGAGGGTTAGTTGTTCCCCAGACGGTGCCGAGGATCTGTCAGGGCGTTAAATCTAAACGGCACCAAGAGCACTCGGCAAAGGTGCTGGCAAAACCAGTAGCAACCCCAGATGCCTCCCCAAGCGCCGCGTGTGTGCTGGGTCCGGGCTGCAGGGCTGCTGCAAAGAAACCTCAACTACGATACCAAGTATGAAGTTGAAGCACAATATGGCTCCTCATTAGACGGGGTTTAGGGTTTGGTTTGGGGTTTAGGGTTTGGGGCTTAGGGTTTAGGGTTTAGGGTTTAGGGTTTAGGGTTTAGGGTTTAGGGCTTAGGGCTTAGGGCTTAGGGTTGCCCAAAACCATGACAACTGCGCCACGCTGCCAGCCTGGCACCGCCCCAGGCAGCCCATTGGATTGTCTCGTTCGGCCCTTGGGGGTATTGGACTGCGCTCCCCTAAGGCCTAAACCCTAAACCCTAAACCCTAAACTTGAGACCATCAACCCTAAACCCACGATCACAAACCGCTTCGTGCTGCGGCTACAGAGCCATCGGGCTTGAGGGCTACTTGGAGGTTCATGGGGAGCTAGAAGTGGGGTTGTAAGTACCAGAATTCAGGTTATAATACAGGCTATCTTGCTTATCACCCTACTTCTAGCTACAGCACACAACTTTGGGCCATCTCTGTTGGGTCCTGAGGAGCCTGAACTGCGGTTTATGGTTTTTACGGGTTGGGAGCTTCCCCCTTCATACTAACAGCCCTTAAGAACCCCCTATTCGAATCCCTATTAAGGACTTGCTAGTATAAGGGGGAACATGCCAGATTGCGGGCTTAGGGTTTCGGGTTTCATGCAAAACAAAATAGACCGAGGGGAGGGAGATCCTAGCTTCGCGCGGCCCCCCGAAACCCTCCCAATGCACCCTACTCGACCTTTTGATCGTTTGTGAACAGGGTTGTTTTTTGGGGTTTAAGGTGTGCTGTTTACAGTAAATTCCCATCCCTCGCCCCCCTCCCCGAAAAGGGATTTCCAAGGCCCGCAGTTGTGTGGCTAGGGTTTAGGGGCTGGGCATTTGGAGTCAACCTAAACCCTAAACCCTAAACTCTGAACCCTAAACCCTAAACCCCAAACCCCAAACCCTAAACCCTAAACCATAAACCCTAAACCCCAAACCCTAAACCCCAAACCCTGAAGCCTATACCCCAAGGCTGCTTGCACGCCCGTGTCGAAGTCTTTTGCGCAGGGCCCCCAGCATGGCTTTCCGTTCACCGCCTGCCTTAGGCGTCGGGAGCTACTGTTTGCCTTCGTCTATGCCTTCGGAGGCGTTTAGAGTTTTCAGGCTCGCCACCCGACACGAAACCCTGGACCCGATCTCTGAGTTTTCACCCAGGGTGCTTCATGAGCTATGGATTGAATATGGGGTTTCGGGTAAACATCTCAGAAGGGCTATTTGCAGAGTCTGGCGGGGTTTGCTGGCAGAAGCGTTAGAAGCCAAGGGCCCAACTTGTCAGAGTTCTGGATTCTTTAAGAAAGCTGAGATTGTCCCATTCTCGCCTGTTACCACGGACCCCTATATTCAGAGGCACCACATCTTCGAGAACCTTGCTTGATACCCCAACATGAACCCCTCAGCGCTAAGCCCGTGGCCCTGAACTATTAACCCTTCCTGAAGTAAACTGCTGCATTGCTCTGCTTCAAGATCGAAGGCTGAATGTCCCTGCTGTTGAGGGGCTGAAAACACTGGGACAAGCGAGCTTTCGGCCGCGTGGCCGGAACTACCGCAGCTTGCAGACACTTCTCCGGAATGATCCCTGAACATCCTCGGCACGCTCAACCCAAACCCGAATGCCCGAGCGCCCCAAACCCCAAGCCTTCCCCGAAGGCTTAACATTCCCTCGATGCCGATTCCTAGGGCTACAGAATGGGTTCAGGGTTTAAAGCTCTGTGAGGGCGTCTTGGTGGAAGGTTGAGTACAGCTTTCTACTCAAAGGGTTTGGGAGCTTTTAGCGTAGATAGCGTAGAGTGCTCGAAGAATCGAATAAGCTACGACTGCAAATGGTCCATATGGTTGAAAGCAAGCACCGCACCCCTCGCCCTCAGGGTCGCAACCCTTACTGACCCTAAACCCTAAACCCTGCACTCCAAGCCAGCATCGATCATCCATGTTGTTTACAATCCTTTGCCAGCTCAGGCTTATCCCTGTTTCTACAACCCCTTGCTAGCTCCGGAGCTTCATGTGCGCATTTCCCAAAATAGCGGTACCTCTGTTATACCACAAATAGAATGTTTCATTTATTATAAAACTCCCCAACAAGGTACCCCTAGTTTCGGAAACCCTCATTTTGTAGTAGCAAATGTTTCAGAGCCTCGCCTGCAACGCGCACGCGGAAGTTACAGCGTCGGTTCTCCGGCGCGCCAAAGCTCGTTGTGTCAGCGCTGGCACACGGAAGCCAATATCAAATCGGGCTTCGGGTTTACGGTTTAGGGTTTCGGGTTTAGGGTTTAGGGTTTAGGGTTTAGGTTTAGGGTTTAGGGTTTAGGGTTTAGGGTTCAAGGAACCTTGAACCCAGTACTTGCGCCCCCAGGTAAGTCGCAGTGTGGTGAACTGCTGCGACCCGGCCGGGCTAAGGGCACGTGTCATGATGAAGAAAAGGCTTCGGGAAACCCCAAACCCTGAACCCTAAACCCTAAACCCTAAACCCTGAACCCTAAACCCTAAACCCTGAACCCTAAACCCTAAACCCTGAACCCTAAACCCTATACCCAGTTTCCAGGATTCTGGTTCGAGGTTACGGCTTCCCCCTATACACGTCCCGAACCCTGGCCAGGAAACCTCACAAAACCCCCCAAAACCACAGGAGCCCTTTCGTGCACGTTCTCACGCTTAGAACGGGGTTTAGGGTTTAGGGTCTAGGGTCTAGGGTGTCTATAGGGTTTAGGGTTTAGGATCAGCTATCTATTAAACTAGAAGTCAAAGGGCCATCAGCTGTAGGCTGAAAGCCAGAAGCTATAAGCTCTGCTCTAAGCAATAAGCTACAAGCTATCATCCCTAAACCTTAAACCCTAAACCCCATCAAAGCTCTAAGTTGCGTAAGCTCTTAGAAGCAGTCGCCTCCAGAACCCCTGAAGCCCTCATAGGGTTTCGGGTTTAGTGCTGAGGGTTTAGGATTTAGGGTTTAGGGTTTCGGGTTTAGGGCGGACCCCCAGATCTTGTGAACCCTAACCCATGGCTTCCATGGTGCCCAACCGAGGCAGTGTAAGCGAAGTGCCATGGGCTGTGGCTTTAGCAAGAAGAAGCTTTGAGGGTTTTGGAGTTTTTAGGGAGCTGTAGGGTCTTTTGGGTGTTTTGGTGTTTTCCGGGTGTTTCAGGGGTTTTAGGTTTACGTTATAAGTACCTTATAATGAACGACCCATGAACCTTCAAATAGGGCCTAGGGCTTCGGGCTTCATACGTAGAGTTGGGCTTGTCAAGCTTCTGTGACTGTTTGTAAACGCGTGGAAGGTTGTCGCTCCCTTGTTAGGTTTTGTGAGAACACGGAGCCCTTAACTTAGGATGCTC